ATGTTCGGTTCTTCCTCTCAACTACACCATTTTGTTGAGGAGTATATGTTGCGGAGACCTCATGTTTGATTTCAACTATATCACAATATGCCTCTATGTTTGTGTTGTCAAACTCTTTCCCATTGTCACTTCTTATCTTTTTGAGCTTCACTTCAAATTCATTTTGTGCTCTTTTGGCAAACTTTTTGAAGCAAGATGCAACTTCGGATTTGTCATGAAGGAAGAACACCCATGTATACCTTGAGTAATCATCAACTATCACAAGACAATAAAGATTTTCTCCCAAACTCTTGTATATTGTTGGTCCAAATAAATCCATGTGTAGGAGTTCTAGCACTCTTGTTGTTGACATGAAAGCTTTTGTTGGATGAGTATTTGCAACTTGCTTGCTAGCTTGACATGCACTACAAAGCTTGTCCTTCTCAAACTTCATATCCTTCAATCCTCTGACCAAATCATTCTTCATTAGCTTCTTGAGTGAACTCATACCAACATGAGCAAGTCTTCTATGCCATAGCCACCCAAGTGTTGTTTTGGTGAATAGGCATGTCTTCATGTTTACATCTTTAGAGATGAAGTCCACTAGATATAAGTTGTTGTATCTAAATCCTTTGAATATCACTTTATCATCATCCTTCTTGATACAATAACTTCTTTCTCGGTAAACAAGCATTGGAAGCCAAGATCACACAATTGCCCAACGGATAGCAAGTTGAAACTCAATGAAGCAACATATAGCACATTGGAGATTGAATGATCATTTGATATAGCCACTTTGCCCAATCCTTTAACTTTGCCCTTTGAGTTATCTCCAAATGTGATTCTTTCTTGTCCATCTACTTCTTCATCTAGTGAGGTGAACATACGAGGGTCACCTATCATATGTTGTGTGCAACCACTATCAATCACCCAATGACTTTCACCGGTCTTGTAGTTCACCTACACACAAGAGATCAAGCTTTAGGAACCCAAACTTGTTGATGGCCCTTCACCTTCTCAACAAGTAACTTTGTAACCCAAATTTTCTTAGGTCTATTCTTGTTTGGAGGTCCTAAGAACATCACTTTCATCTTTCCACTAGTATTCTTTCTAAGCATGTAGTGAGCATTAAAGGCAAAGGGTCTAGCATGCTTGGGCAAGGGTTGTGGTGGTGGAGTTCGGCACTCATGAGCAAAGTGGCCTTCTTGTCTACACTCAAAACATCTATTTGGCTTTGGCTTTGATTGTTGTTGTTGAACTTGAGCCTTCTTCTTCTCTACATGTGCCACATATCTAATGCCACTTCTATCTATCTTCATGACGGTGTTCATAAGTAGCTCACTTTGAAGATATTTGCCTCTTATGAACTTGCTCAATCCAACCTTGAGATGCTCTTTCTCCAACTTAAGCTTCTTGTTCTCTTCCTTAAGAGCATCATTGTTCTTCTCTTCCTTGAGCTTCTCATTCTCAAGGATCAAGTCACCGATCAAGGGTTTCTAGCACAATGGTGTTGTGACTTTTGATTTCTTCAAGATCTTTCTTGAGCTTTGCATTGTCATTCTTTAGCTTGACAAACTCATCATAATCAACTACTAGAACCTTGCTCAATGCTCTTAATGATCAAGTCATCACATGATGTAGCTATATCAATCTTAATAACATGGTTAGTTGCATCATGTGGCTCATTGGATAGAAATTCTTGAGTAATAACAAGATTATCATGATTAATCTTAAGAGTGGTATATTCTTCCTTTAGCTTGTTGTGGCTAGTGATGAGCTCTTTGTGCACCCACTCAAGTTTATCATGTTTATCTTCAATCTCTTTCTTAGAAGATTTGAGCTCCTTGAGTTTGGATGACATAGCTTCATTTGCTTCTCTAAGCTCAACACTAGATTTTTCGGCTATGTCACATTTAGCTAAGAGAGAATCATTCTTAATCTCAAGCTTTTCATTTTTAGCTCTAGTCTTTATAATGATCTTAGTGTATTTCTTTAGCAACTTAGCAAGATCATCGTAAGTAGGTGATTCATATTCATCATCATCGCTATCACTATCACTATCATCCTTATGAGCATGATCATCACCACTACTATCATCATCATGTGATACCTTTCGTTCACCTTTGGCCATAAGGCATAGGTGTGTAGAGGATGACGGCGGTGGTGGCGGTGAAGATGATGAGGAATCAATAACAATGGTGGCCACCTTCTCGTCGTCACTATCATCATCGGATGATCCACTAGATGAATCAATATCTGTGAGCCAATCACCGATGATGTAAGCCTTTCCACTCTTCTTCTTCTTGTGGAAGTCCCTCTTCTTGTCATCTCTCTTCTTGTATGGCTTGTTCTTTTTTTTCTCATCTTCATCTTCATTGCTTGAGTCATCTTTCTTGCCCTTGTTCTTGTTCTTGAACTTGTCTTTCTTGGGTTTTGTGCATTGGTGAGCTAGATGACCAAGTTCGCCATAATTATAGCAATCCATCTCGGAGATTGGCTTTCTTCTTGAGCTTGTGAAGAACTTCTTCTTCTTCCCATCAAACTTGATGCCACTCTTGTTTAGCTTCTTTAGCATCTTGGTGATTTTCTTCACCATGAGAGCAAGGTTTTCATCATCAACTTCATCATCACTTGAGCTCTCATACTCAAGCCTTGCTTTGCCCTTCTCTTGGCTAGCTTTGAATGCTAAGTCTTTTTCTTTCTTCTTTATAGAGGATGAGCCATCTTGAGGTGTGATGTGCATGTACATCTCATGAGCATTGATCTTCCCCAAGATTTGTGTTGGTGTAGCGATGGAAAGATCACCTTGATGTAGCACGGTCACAATATGCCCATATTTATCAATGAGAAGGACACTCAAGATCTTTCTCACAACGTCAGATGGTGACATTTGAGTAAGTCCAAGCCCATTGAGTTCCTCTACAAGAACATTCAAACGTGAATACATTTTATTAGCACATTCTTTAGGAAGCATTTCAAAAGAGTTAAGCTTTTTCATGACAAGATGATAGCGTTCCTCACGCTCACTCTTTGTTCACTCATGGAGCGCACAAACGTCCGACCATAGTGCATGGATGTCTTTATGGTTCCTTACGCGGTTGAACATATCTTTGTAAAGGCCTCTAAAGATGGTGTTACGAGCCTTTGCATTCTATTTTTTATAGTTCACTTCATCGCCTTGAAGTTGTGCGGGATTCCTAGGTCTTGGGAACCCATGTGAGGTGGCTCTAAGTATTCCAACGTCTAGAGCTTCTAGGTATGCCGCTATGTGAATTTTCTAATATGGAAAATCACCCCCGTCGAAGATAGGAGGTCCATCCCCGTGAGACATCTTGCTCTAAGTGGTTAAGCTTAAAAACGTGAGCACGAGGCTCTGATACCAATTGAAATGATCAAGATGCCCAAGAGAGGGGTGAATTAGGCTAATTCTAAATTTCTTTGCAATAAACAAGTCCTATGGTTAGCCCAATTAACCCCTTGTGCCTAGAGAAGTATTTCTATTGATCTAACGCACAAAAGTTTAGCAACCTAGTTCTAATCTTACTCTAGCATGGCAATTCTAGGAATATAAATGACAAGAATTGAAATGCTCAAAGTAAAGAGAGGAGAAGAAACGCAGTGATGTTTTGCCGAGGTATCGGAGAGTCGCCATTCCCCACTAGTCCTCGTTGGAGCACCCGCGCAAGGGTGTAGCTCCCCCTTGATCCGCGTAAGGATTAAGTACTCTCTACGGGTTGATTATTCGACACTCCGTCACGGTGAATCACCCACAACCGCTCACAACTTGAGTTGGGTCATCCACAAGCTCTCCGGATGATCACCAAGCTCTCCAATCACCACCAAGCTGTCTAGGTGATGGCGATCACTAAGAGTAACAAACATGAACTCTCACTTGACCACGACAAGCCTAGGAAGAAGGGTGGATGCACACTTTGCTACTCTTGATCTCACTAATGAGGGCTCTCTTTGGATTCTCAAATCTCAATCACCTCACTAGGACCTTACTCTTCTTAGCACTCTCTAAGGTGTGTTTTCAGCTGTTGGAATGAGCAAAAGTCACTCCACACATGAGTGGAGCTTCTATTTATAAGACAGCGTAAAAAATGAACCGTTATGTGTCTCTGCGGGCTGACCGGACGCTCCGGTCAGTTCAACCCGCACACCAGTGTTTAAGTGTTGACCAGACGCTGGCAGGGTTCGGTCATCACTGACCGGACGCGTCCGGTCCCATTTTTTCCTCATTGAATGCTTACTGTACTCGACCGGACGCTAAACCCCCAGGGTCCAGTCAGTACTGACCGGACGTATCCGGTCGAAGAATTCCTTCTCTGGAACCTTACTGGAGTCGACCGGACGTTGGTCCTCAGCGTCGGTCACTCGACCACTCAGCGTCCGGTCGCGCCAGACGCAATCTCCTTAGTCAAATGAACTGACCGGATCCTGCGGCCAGCGTCCGGTCGCACCGGAGCTAGCGTCCGGTCAGTATTTGACCCTCCATTCACTTCCAACTCTCGATCATACGTGAATGAAGATTGCTCCAAATGATCTAAGGGCTTTGTTGGAGCTACCTAGTGCTAGACTTAGCAAGTGTGCACCACACCTAACTCACTAGACTCACCTAGGTCAAGCTACCCGTCCATACCCTCCTTAATAGTACGGTCAAAGGAAAAATAAAGTTCTAAACTACTCTAAGTGTCTCTCCAACTCCAATCAACACTTAGAATTAGTCATCCTTAACCTTGTCGTCCATCCTTTGAAAATCGAAACGATTTTCATCGTAGGGCATGACATCCATGATTGCCCAATCGATCTCCATTACCATGACTTAACTTAATTGTCTTTGCAAAACACACGTTAGTCATAGTAATCTTGTATTGTCATTAATCACCGAAACTCAACAAGAGGCCTAGATGCTTTCACCCCCGACGCAGGCTGCCCCGGCGAGCTCGTCCCCGGCACAGACTGCCCTAGCGAGGTCAGCCCCAGTGTCCAAGACGCGGGCGAGTTCGGTCTTGGCGGCCATGGCGAGCGCAGCACTGCCGCGGGCAAGCTCGGCCCTGGCGGCCATGGGGAGCGACGCAGACTACCTCGGTGAGCTCGGCCCCAGCTGCCATGGCGAGCTCGGTGCCGGTGGCCATGGGGAGCTTGCCCGGCCATGGCGAGCTCGTCCTCGACGCAGGCTGCCCCGGTGAGCTCGTCCCCAGCGGCCATGGCGAGCACGGCCTCGACGTAGACTGCCTATGGCGAGAGCGGGGAGACCGAGAACGAGCGAATGGGTCGGGTGAGGCGACTGAGTGCGGCCCGGTTGACTTAGCAGCAGAGGGCAGGGGCCGCCATAGTCATTTGCCATCCCCATGCTGCCTCGGATCCGACCTGGACTGATGCGTTAGCGTGCTACTAATGTAAAAGTGGTAATTTTGTATCTCTTCTCTTCGTTGCATGTCAAATTCATAGAGTGCCAGCCATTAAAGAAAGATCTCAGGAGGCGTCGATTCTTATAATAGTAAAAAGTTAAATCTCCTAAAACGTGGCGGACTCGAGCCGGGCCGGCCTCAATTCACTTGGGTTCGTTGCATGAGACGCGGACTCTCACCTTTTCTCTCCCCCACGTCGGCGGTCAGCCAGCAGCCTTCCGTCGGCCAGCAGCAGGGCTCTTGGGCGCGGGCGGCGAGCGCGCGGGCGGGGTACACGGGGCGCCGGGTGCCTGTAAGCTTCAACGTTGCCTTGTCTTCTTCCGTCACTCCCAGCGTGCGCGCAACCCCACGTACACCCACAGACGACTGGGCCGGCCGTCGCTGCTACCTCGGCCCCTTCGCCGGCGACGAGCACCACCAGGTACGCCCTCCCCTTGGTCTTCCCTTACTGCTGTGCAAAACCGTGCGCCCAAACCCTAACTTACTATTCGTATTCGGATCTGAATCTAATTATTATGTACATGTGTATACTAACTTCGGGTGTTATTCTAGAGCTCACAAACAAACTCTTGAGGGTCGTAGCGTTGGGTGTTTGGAAGAAGAAAATTGTGGCCCTCGAGGATTCCGGAGTTCACAAACAAACTCTTGAGGGTCGTGGCTTCGGTCTTCAGGTGCTCTGAAAGCCAGACAAATTATTCATCATGGAGCTAAATAATGGATATATTCAGGTAAGTCATTGACATTCTTTTTGTGCTATTAATTATCACCAGTAGCCTGGTAGGTCTACAAAGGCTCAATCTGTTTGTTTCTTTTCTTTTCTTTTTCAGAAATCGGATGATGAAGATAGGCTCAGCATGCTGACTGATGATGTATTACTCTCAATTCTGGAGAGAGTTGACATAACTACGGCCACAAGGACAAGCGTCTTATCCACGCGGTGGAAACACCTGCCGTGGTTGCTCCGTGAGCTCACAATTGATGTCAGAGAATTCCTATCTGTTTCGCCCCCAAACCCCATTGAAGTTGGGCATATGGAGGAAGCAATGGCTTCCCTAACCAAAGCAGTCATTAGCTTCTTGGCTACTCCCCGGAGCGAAGCCACCATCACAAGGCTGCAGTTCAAGCTCTATCTGGTGAACACTTACTCGGATGTCATTGGTCCTCTAGTTAGTCAGGCAACTGAGACTGGGACTCTAGAAGATTTAGACCTGGCCATTGTGGACGAGAAGGAGGCAGATGACTGTTACGAAGAGGAAATGCGCCAGCAAGCTCGCGCTGTGGACGGCTTCTTCAGTGCCTATCCTAGTGTGCTCCATTGTCTCTCGAAACTTGAACTATACAATGTTTGTTTTGCTGAATGGGATCTGCATCACCTTTTATTTGACTGTTGCAAGCAGTTGCAGCATCTCTCTCTATGCAACTGTGATGCAGGGGGGCTCTTGCCTTGGAAGATACAAGCACTGGATTCGAAGCTTAGGCTTCTTGAACTTGACTTCTGCTGCTTGGGGAAGCTTGAGGTGCTCTGTCTTCCAAAACTAGAGAAGCTTCGTTGGGATACTTGGATGTTTCCACTGACACCCCTGTCATTTGGTGTTGCCCCATTCCTTAAGGAATTGAACCTCATATGTGGTGCGACAGTTCATCATTAAGGGTTTGATTTGAGTAAGGTTCTGAGGGATACAACAGCTATACATAACTTAACATTAAATTTCAGAGGAGAAAAGGTAAACTCACACTCATTTTCGTGCACTGTTGTCTGGGTGTATTTAGCTGATTTAATAAATAAAAAATATCAAACGGTTGACATGTTTGAGCATGATATGGAAAACATATTAACCAACTAATTATTCATGTTGTTTTCTGCATCTATGTTTCTTCAGCTTTGGATAAAACCGGAAAGGGAAGCTGCTCTGCACTGCATCCAAGAATTTGATATGGATGATGGTTCTCCTTGAAGCCGTGCCATCAGTTGAGATATTTGATATTGAGGTAGTTGCCTGTTTTCTATTTATTAAATGTTTTTCCTTTACAAGATAAGGTTAGTTCAAACCTTTCTGTATTTGGAGGGCAGTGTGGTGGTTTTGTTATAACCAAAGTTCCACAATTATTTTCTTTTCTTAAAGGAATTTACTCTTTTTTTTATGTATCATTCTGTACAGATATGGGAACATCCATGCGTAGTAGACACAGAAGGTAGAAGGAAAACTTATGGTGAAAGAACAAATCCATCATGGAACGTAGCTGAGTTCAAAAGCTGTAAGGAATGACTATTGAAAGAGGTGCAGGTTACTGGCTTTAGCCCAATGGAGCAACAATTAGCACTTATAAGGGCTGTGATGCAGCGAGCTTCCAACCTACAAACCATTGTCCTAAAAGATTACCAGCCTTGTGATTACTGTGACGAGATAGGTGCACTTCCTCATTGTGAAAGATTACCGCCAGAATGGGTGTTTCCAAAGGGAAAGGGCGAGCAGGACGCTGCAGTTGAGCAGCTGATTAGAGACATGCCTGACTGAAATGTTCAGATAATTTTTGGGAACTAAAAAGTCATAGAACATGTGGTCTGTCTTATTCGGTGATGAATAATATCAAATGTTTTTTTTTGGTTTGGAATTTAAACGTTGAGGAACCTGTATTATTATGTCTTTTCAAACAGTGCTGAACTTAATTATTCTTGGCGGCAGTCTTAATTGTGGAACCCTTACACTCCTCCGCAGGATGATTTTCCATTGTTTTGATATAATTTCTTGCCGAAACATGGCTTGGACAGAATGTAGCAAGGGATATCCATACCCTTTTTTTTTGTGAATTGGGATATCCATACCCTTTTGAAACTAATGTTTGATTGTTATGTGACAGTTTGTATAGTCCATATGTATTAGGGGACCATCATAAATTCTTAATCATATATCGTGACAATGCAACGTATGGGTTAATGGATGTCAATGCAATGCTTATGGTACCGTCCATGTCTTCATATTTAAATTTGAATTTGAATTTTGCATTTGGTTTCAAATACAAATTGTGTGTAAAATGCTGATTTGCTATGATAAAATATTTCCCTAGAGACTCGAATCTTAGGAAACACATTTTCCATATAGGATCCGTGAGCTAATTTTCCTTACTCAATTCCTAATGAATGAAATCTCGCACTTTTCTAGGAAAAATGCATGTTTTTCCCCATATATAGGATCCGTGAGCTACTTTTCCAAACTCATTTGCTAAGAAAGAAATCTGGCACTTTTCTATTCCCGGTGAAAGTGATCTTTTTGAGGGAACAGGAGGTGCTTGAGCCCCTACTCAAATTTATTGAAAGGGCAAAAAAGGAGACAAACAAGATAAGGTCAATTACAATCTTTGCTCTAACCATGAACTAATTCCTATAAGGTATTTTTTCTTCGCACGTAGTGTAATCAGGCTGAAGATGTTCTTGAAGATGCACTTTGCATCGATCTCTTGTAGCTTCCTCACACCTGAAAATGTGGTTGTTTCTAGTCGTCCAGATACTCCAACAGAGAATTATGATGACCTCTGAAACGGTCCTTGGGACTGTGGGATAGTCAGCCCAACAAGATTCCAACATCCGAACAGGTGTTCCACCGTCTCCTCCACCGATCCATTGCTGAGAACGCAATTGAAAGATTGCGGATGCATGTTCTTCCTTCATAGGATATTACGCGTACTGAGTCTATCATGAGCAAGGAGCCAGAAAAAAACCTTGTGCTTGTGCTTGTTCTGACAAGAAGACTTCCAAATCCATCCGAAGGCGGGATGCACCAAACGCGAGCCAGTGAGCTGCTTATAGGCTTTGCCAGTGAGCCTGCAGGGTATATTTGTTGAATTCGGCCTATTGCGGACAATAGCGCTTCTTGAAGCTTCACCGTACCTCGAGAAACTACATGTTCAGGTACTTTTTATTTTTTTCTTTATTTATTATTATTATTTTAGCCGATGCTTTTTAAAATTTAAAATGCCCTGGTGTTCTCTCTTCGGTTCTGATAGCTTTGTTTTTGGATTAGTCTGAGTGATTCCTGTGCTGGAAAGGCACACTTAACAAAATTGGCAGGGTTCACCTTCAACCAATCATAGCCAGGTTTAGTTGAAAACCTTAGTATCTTCCATCCTTTTTTTTATTTAAAGTTATATTCTAGGAGTGGTGAACACAACCCAGCTCCAAATAGAATCTGTAGTTTGTAGGCTAAAATAAAGTGACTATCTTGCTCCAACAATCTTCCAAACAGGCTTGTAAAATTCTTCATATGGTTTAAACTTTAAACTACAACCAATATTTATAGGTCTGACAATGTGCTATAACGATTTACTATGTGAAATCTTGAACATGTTTTGAAGTTTTATTTTCCTTGATTGAAGTAAAAGCTCCCTCATGTAGATACCCTTGATATGCAAGCAGTTAAAATCAACTTCCTTTGTGAAATATAAAATTGAATAAGGTTCAAGAAACAGATAGACACTGACATCATGTAAGGTTGAATTGGTATTTGAAGTTCAACATCCTTTTCTTCTACGCTCAATACTCAATCGCATGCATGCATATAAAGTGTGTGGTGCTCATTGCAGTTATTCCCTGAATATAAAGAACTATGACTATTTTATGTTATTTCATTTTTCCTTCATAATAACATGTTCATTTTTTGTTTGTGCAGGTGTTTGACCATATTTGTATTCGTGAGGAGGAAAGGAATGAGATATATGGAGAAAGAACTAATGCACCTTGGGAAATGTGTGTGTGCGCGCGCGCGCGCCCGCGGACTTGTCCAAGCGTTTGTCTCTGAAAGTACTTCGGCTTGATGGTTTCAGTGCTACTGAAGATCATATCACATTTTTAGGAGCCGTGATGGAGCGAGCTTCCAACCTGCAGTCAGTTGTTCTGGAAGAACAATATTGTAACTTTGAAAGAAGTGCATTGCGATTTGCATTCCTACTACTAAAAGCAAATGTAAATTTCCAAAGCGAGATGAACAAGAGATGGTAGCAGATAATTTTAGAAGCTGGTTCTCCTCCCGTGCGCAAATAATTTTCAACGAGTACAAAATTTTTAGCGATTAGGGTGTGTTATATTCATTTGTGCTGAATAGTTTCTGTGTGCTATTAGAAGAAAAGAGAAGTTCATGGAAAGGCGTGGTTTACCTAGCACAAGTAGTTGGGTTCTTTTGTTCTCACTTTTTTTTTGATAAATAACAGGACACCAAAGAACTGACTTTTCTAGAGATTGTGATATAGCTCGTAAAAGCTTTATTACAAAAGTTGGTGCTGGGCTAGATTGATGCTTTTGGATGTTATAACTATCTATATAACGCATCTAGGCACCTGATCTGTGAGCTAGCTCTAAGCATATTGGTGCTAGGGTCGGCTGGAGGTGGCTGGAGTCGGCTGGGCGGGCGTGCGGCCCAATGGTGGCGGCGAGGTGTGGCTATGGCGCAAGGTTGGTGTCGCGGGGTCGAAACTGCGGCAAGCATTGTTGTTCAAGTCGGTGTCAGAGTATGGGTCTCCGGTGATTCGGGTGGACTCAAGAACACAAGAATCATAGAGAGGACGCAACGGTTTATCCTGGTTCGGGCCAATCAGTGCCGTACGTCCAGCAGCTGATGATCCTTATACTCAAAAGCATCCAAAATCAGGGGGTTACAACAGGGTTGTAGAGAGATCTGGTAGGGGTTAGCTCTATGCTAATCCTAAGGTTGCCTCGCCGCCGGTGGAGTCTTCCTCTCGTCGGAGAGGAGGAAGACGACGGGATGCTGTGGAGGAACTCTCGGTGCCCCTCTCTAGGTTGCCTTGCTCTTGATGCTGAGCAGAGGCCAAGGAATGGAATGATCTTCTGATGATAGTCCTCTCCCCTCTCTAGGTCCGACCTTATCCCTTATATAACGAGATAAGGTAGGGTACATGGCGGTTTGGGGGAATGAGTCTACGATCTACATGCGTCAGAGTCTAGGAGGGCCTTGCAGCGACGCGTTGTGGACCGTGGCGGTGTATTGGAGCCGAAGAAGCCTTGGGCGTCGTCCGGCTGCTCTATTCTGACACTCTGCATGTCAGGATGTATCGGCTTGGACCGGCCTCCCAGGTGGACCTTCTGGAGTCTTCTTGGTAGTGAAGGAGGTCAGCTCCAGGGGCTGACGCGAGGGCCCGTGAGCCTCCGAGCCCCTGGAGCCCGCGGGGAAGCTTTGTCTTCTTGTGTCACGCCCCGTGCGTGACCTTGTCGGGAAAGTGGCCGGCAATGCCGTGCCCAAGGGGCAGAGCCAGGGGAGCCCCGAGCCTTGGTAGCTCATGGCGTGTCTTCTTGCGCCCGGGCCTTGGCTGGCGTCGTTGGCCGGGTAGGAGCCAAGGGCCGGGCCGGAGTCCGGCTTAGATCGGGAGCCTCTAGGCTCGGGCAAGCCCCCGAGCCCCACACGGAGGTTGCGGCGTAGTCAGGCTTGGCAGGGTTTCTCCTCTGGAGGGTGCGCACGAGCGTACCCAATGGGTATACCCCCGAGCCCTCGGGCGATCTTGGAGGGGTTGGTCGGGGGGTCTTCTTCGTTCGAGAACCATTAGACCCAAGGCTTAACATACCCATATGTTAGGATCTTGTCAGTCGGACTCGGGAAGGCGCGACCCAAAAGCTCTTAGGAAAGAAGGTGCCGTGGTATCAGTATTAGGGATACCCGAAGACGGGATCTGAGGACCGCGGACGATGACTCGCTTAGATAATCAAGGACGTATTTTAGTCTCGCCCGACCCCGAAGGGACGGTCTTCGTCTCACCCGACCCCTTGGACACGGGCCCTAGGTCGCCCAACCCCAAGGGGACGGTCTCTGTCTCGCCTGACCCCTTAGGCACGGGCCCCGTGTCACCCAACCCCAAGGGTACGGGAGCCGTCTCGCCCGATCCTAAGGGTACGGGAGCCGTCTCTCCTGACCCCTTGGGCATGGGCCCCGTGTCACCTAACCCCAAGGGTACGGGAGCCGTCTCGCCCGACCCTGAGGGCATGGGCTCCGTCTCGCCCGACCCCTGGGGCGCGGGCTCCGTCTCGTCCGACGGGGACCCGTACCGCCTCCAACCACTATAGGTCTAAGGGTACGACCCCATGGTCAAACTTCTAACACTAGGAGGGAAGCAGGCACATCTCGATGTGACTCGTGGCCACGTTAGGCCATGACCGGGGGTTCACATCACCAACAATGATGGGTGCATGGTCGCTGTGTTGCCTACTCCCCGTATAGCTGCTGATAGGCACGTCGGTTCGTTACGCCATCCACCGAGACGGGATGGGACACCATGACCAACTGATGACGTTGGGGCATGGCACCAGTGGTAAACAGGAGCCCGACGTGCGGTCGTCTCCATCACCATCTACAGCATTGGCGGGACCTGCATGAAGGAAAAGAAGGACCTGGCGGCTCTGGAGGCCTTCTTCTCCCTCGCTTTTCTCCTTGTTTCTCTTTGTAACCCGCGCCTTCCCCTTCACCTATAAAAGGGGAAGCAGGACGCCCCAAGAAGGGGTGAACGAGCAGACAATGAA